GGATAAAAAACCAAGACTCGAGGCTGATCTCGAGGAGCTCTTTGGATGTAACTACAAAAGCCACAATCCTATGACAAAGCAGCCAACTACCAATGAAGATGAGATTCAAGATTATTTTCAGATGCCTGACATTCCCACCATGGGGAATCCTCTCGAATGGTGGGCATGTAATGAACACCAGTTTCCTTGGCTATCCAAGCTGGCTAAATCATATCTTGCTGTCCCTGCCACCAGTAGGCTACACCAAGTGAAATAATTTTTCCTTGGCCGGCAACACCGTCACCATGTTCACCGACAGCCGATAATAGCCATTGCGATCAAATTTGACCTCAGACGAAATTATGGCAGTGTCAGAAGATTTGCCGCAGAGTCTTGCAGTGTGAAGCCTCCTACGACAAACGTCAAACTGTCTTCGTTTTTCAAGACAAGCCATGATCAAAATTAATGCTAGAGATGTCTTCTAACTGCCATAAACTCCAGCGCTCCCGTCCTCCGCTCACGGGATTCATATGTCGCCTTTGCTATGATAAACACCGGTTGCTCCGCTGTTTTCATGTGGGTGTGTAGTGCTGATTACACTATTCTTCTTAAATACGCCGGTATTGCTGTCATTCATATACTTTAAATGATAGCCAACATTACAGCCCCGCGTTTAATGCAGCTCGCAGTCACTGAACGTGTACGGGTTGATAATGTAAAAACTCCAAGTTTTCTTGCACGCACCTGTTTTTAATGCATCTGGACTGTCGTACAGTCTGACATTAATGACAACTGAGATCCCACAGTGTGACATGATCATCATGTTCATACAGTCTGACAAGCAACAATCGTAAAGGACTATTAAAAATCGCACAGTGTGTGCCTGCTTAAGAGAAGCACCAATGCGTCGCCGATGCCCGTGAGATATTTGGCATGTTAAATATCTGGACCTGTCGGTGACTCATAGTACTGCAGTGTGAAATGTGCTTTGACTGGAAATGACATTGCGACAACCTACAGCCATTAAGAGAGCACGACACAGGGCAAGGGAAAGTCATAATAGACCTGTAACAGAACAACGGCAAGCAACCATTCTCTCCTTCATATAGTTCTGTGTTAGTTTTTTTCCACTGCAGTGTACAGACAACTTGGATTGCAAGTTCCCCTTCTAGGGAACTCCACGCTGTGCCCCCTAGGGGGCACATTGGGGAATGCAGCCAGCATGACCTGTGTCTGAAGCACGTGTGAAACAACACCAATCCTATTGGTTCACATGGCCCACGACATCATAGGCGGGTGCCCGGAAGTATAAAAGGGCACCTGCTGAATACGTCACCAACTTTTGTTGTCTTCGGAGCCATCTGTTTGAAGTGCGTGTGAGAGACCAAGGCAGGTGAGCGTTGTGGAAAGCGTGTGCCTCCGTGCCCAAGGTTTCTGACACTTGAGGACACACACGATCTATGCGTCATGTAGGGCTTGCATAGACTAGTCGAGTGATCGACTATTTTAACCACTAGTCGGCGCTGTCGGAAACAATCAACTACTCGAGTGTGCATTAACATTACAGGATGCCAAATCCCATCTCGCTGATTTATTGCACGACTGCGAGACAAAGCATTCAGAAACTTCAGGTGAGCTAATAATCCATAGTAAACGTTACTTTGTTTTTTTTTAACCACTTCTTGATGCATATTTCACTGTCACAACAGGTGAACAGGAGGTTGCCGACTGCAGCATGACAACCAAAGCGTTGCCCAGTGAGGATAAAAAACCAAGACTCGAGGCTGATCTCGAGGAGCTCTTTGGATGTAACTACAAAAGCCACAATCCTATGACAAAGCAGCCAACTACCAATGAAGATGAGATTCAAGATTATTTTCAGATGCCTGACATTCCCACCATGGGGAATCCTCTCGAATGGTGGGCATGTAATGAACACCAGTTTCCTTGGCTATCCAAGCTGGCTAAATCATATCTTGCTGTCCCTGCCACCAGTAGGCTACACCAAGTGAAATAATTTTTCCTTGGCCGGCAACACCGTCACAAGGCAAAGATCAAGCCTGCATCCCTCTCACGTCGATGCGCTTATATTTCTGAATGCAAACCAGCAATCCATGAGCTCGACTAAAGACTGTGTGTGGCGAGAGGACGATAGCAGCGATGACTTGTGTTAGTCTATATAAACGTTCAAGCCTGCTGAAGTAAGATTCAATTTGTTCTTGTTATTACGGTTGAAAACTTGGTAAATATCAAATGATTAAATGAAATTTACTCATGTTTTAACTGTTTTACTAACGTTTTAATTAGTTTTATGAATATACTGTACCTGCTAGCTCAGTGACTGCTCCCCTTCTTTGGGTCTTTGAGTAGCCGTCTCCTCGAGCCCTTGCCTACAAAGTGCTATCTCCCCTGCTAGGGTTGTAAGTAGATAGCCCACTCTCTGTGGTCTGGGCAGCTCTGCAGGAAGGTCTTGCCTGGCCATCTAGGCTAGCTGTGTATTGTTATTCTGATCTACAAGCCTTCATAAGACCTTGAGGAAATAGCTATCTGAGGATAGCTGTGTTCTAGCTCAGCAGTTACTCTCATTACCTGGGATTTAAGTAGCGATCTCTTGAGCTCCTCTAGAGGCTTTCTAGTGTAGCCTCTTCAGTGGTCTTGTGTATCCAGGCTAGTATTGCTCACATAGCATAGCTATCTGATGATAGCTGTGCTCTTAACTTGGGTGTTATGTTCCCCTTGATCTAAATCGTGTTCCCCCATTTCTGCCAGGTTATGTGAGCAGCCCGTGGCGTCAGTGGCCTGGCCCCTTTCTGTGGAAAGGCCTGGTGTGTGTCTGTCGCTTCCTTGGTGCTCCCCCACCAGTTGGACAGGCATGCGCCTCGGCACAGCGTGGTTGGATTTTGTTCCCCAATGTGCCCCCTAGGGGGGCGCAGCGTGGAATTCCCTAGAAGAGGAACGTCTCAGGTTACGCATGTAACCATGGTTCCCCGAGAGGGAACGAGACGCTGCGCCCCCTCGCCATGCCTTAGGCCTGCCTGTTTACGTCTCCTTCAGACAACTAAGTTGGTGATGTATTCAGCAGGTGCACTTTTATACTTCCGGGCACCCGCCTATGATGTCATGGGCCATGTGGACCAATAGGATTGATGTTGTTTCACACATGTTTCAGACATGCTGGCTGCATTCCCCGATGTTCCCCCTAGGGGGCGCAGCGTCTTGTTCCCTCTCGGGAAACCATGGTTACATGCATAACCTGAGACGTTTTTTGTGGGCCACCTTTTTTTGCCACTTTTTTTCTAAGCAACAGTGAATAGCAGAGGAAGAATCTGGTACCGGCTCTGTCTCTGTACTCTTGTATTTGTATTTCATTGATTAACACACAATGAATATAAAAATCCGAACAGATGTTTGAAAACATGAATACCATTTAACGGAAATTTGTGCAAGACTTCCTTTGTTTACCACTGTATTTCTGCTTTTCCATAAGCGCCACCTACTGTCAGAGAGTGAATTTGCATTTTCATTCATCTGATGTTACTTCGCATTGATCTGGACAGACAAATCGGATGCAAACATTTGACTGAATTTTCATGCCAGACATTCATGTTGATTTTTTAAAAAAAATCACTAATTTAAGCCTGTCCCTCAATGAGAGTCTGTGACACCATAGAAGGCAACAAACAAATCATGCTTAAACCTGTAACCGGCTGTGTATGTCAACCCAAATCAAGAGGTCTAAAAACGTGCTAAGATCTGACAATCCAATCTGTCATGTAATGTGCACACAACAGTAACTAGATAGTTAAGATAGTTAACCCCAGACAGTCATGCAGTGTGAAAAGAGCAGCGATCCAACGACTTTGAAAATCATGCAGTGAGAATCCAGCATAGGATAAAAAAGACATTGTTTGTGTGTTTACTAACTTTGCATGAGATGGCAGCTTCACTGAGCAGAGATACGGTGTCACTCTTTAAGGACAGCAGGTCGCTGCTGCTGAGTTCAGTGCCATCGCTGGGACTCGCATTGCGACTGGAATCACTGTGAATCATGTCCTCAAGCATCACAGATAAATGTATGTCCTCCGCCTGGTCTGTTGAGACCTGAAATACACAAATACACATTCAAAATGTCAGCAAAAATAGAGAAATTATACACTGAATTCATGTTACTCTTCTGTGGTGCACTTTTATACTTCCGGGCACCCGCCTATGATGTCATGGGCCATGTGGACCAATAGGATTGATGTTGTTTCACACATGTTTCAGACATGCTGGCTGCATTCCCCGATGTTCCCCCTAGGGGGCGCAGCGTCTTGTTCCCTCTCGGGAAACCATGGTTACATGCATAACCTGAGACGTTTTTTGTGGGCCACCTTTTTTTGCCACTTTTTTTCTAAGCAACAGTGAATAGCAGAGGAAGAATCTGGTACCGGCTCTGTCTCTGTACTCTTGTATTTGTATTTCATTGATTAACACACAATGAATATAAAAATCCGAACAGATGTTTGAAAACATGAATACCATTTAACGGAAATTTGTGCAAGACTTCCTTTGTTTACCACTGTATTTCTGCTTTTCCATAAGCGCCACCTACTGTCAGAGAGTGAATTTGCATTTTCATTCATCTGATGTTACTTCGCATTGATCTGGACAGACAAATCGGATGCAAACATTTGACTGAATTTTCATGCCAGACATTCATGTTGATTTTTAAAAAAAAATCACTAATTTAAGCCTGTCCCTCAATGAGAGTCTGTGACACCATAGAAGGCAACAAACAAATCATGCTTAAACCTGTAACCGGCTGTGTATGTCAACCCAAATCAAGAGGTCTAAAAACGTGCTAAGATCTGACAATCCAATCTGTCATGTAATGTGCACACAACAGTAACTAGATAGTTAAGATAGTTAACCCCAGACAGTCATGCAGTGTGAAAAGAGCAGCGATCCAACGACTTTGAAAATCATGCAGTGAGAATCCAGCATAGGATAAAAAAGACATTGTTTGTGTGTTTACTAACTTTGCATGAGATGGCAGCTTCACTGAGCAGAGATACGGTGTCACTCTTTAAGGACAGCAGGTCGCTGCTGCTGAGTTCAGTGCCATCGCTGGGACTCGCATTGCGACTGGAATCACTGTGAATCATGTCCTCAAGCATCACAGATAAATGTATGTCCTCCGCCTGGTCTGTTGAGACCTGAAATACACAAATACACATTCAAAATGTCAGCAAAAATAGAGAAATTATACACTGAATTCATGTTACTCTTCTGTTTCTATTCTATTTAATTCTGTTTCTATTCATACCTGTTACTATCTAAAATTAACATTTAGCAAATTAAATGCAACATACTGTATTTAAACTTAAAAGTTGGCATGAAATGAACATTCTTGCTTCTTGAGAGTTGTGATGGTTTCAGCAGTTCAAGTGGAGGTTGGCAGCTCATTCCACCAGAGAGGAGCAGAGAAGGTGAAGGTTTTGGAAACCAACATGTGAACGAGGCGTCACTCATTCAGTGACCGTGTATTTTGTGGATGGATGTAAATGGATGTTATAAATATTATTGTGAATGATTCATTGATTGTATATTTTTTTCAGATATGACATTATATTATAATTATTATATTATAATAATTATATTATTTTGATCTCTTCTCTCATGTCACAATAGAGAATACGATTGCAATTTCCATTTCATGCCGACTTCAAATTGTAATAGATCCTCCAATGAAAATGACCGGCTTTTTCTTTCTTTCTTTCTTTCTTTCTTTCTTTCTTTTTCTTTCTTTCTTTCTTTGTTTCTTTTTTTTTGTGACATATGCTGAACAATCATGCATTCCTGCTTAAACCCTACCACTCCACTTTCGACTATAAGCTCACGTTCATTTCTGAATGCAATGAACATGTCAAAAACCGCTCAACAAGCAATGGAAGGAGCAAAGTCCCTGTCTTACATTTTCAACATTATCTTTATTGATAATCCATTACACTGATATAAGTGTTACGTTCAAAGGTATTGTTTTCCCCTGAGAAACTGTGCGTTCACTCACAAACCATTTGCGTTCACTCACAAACCATTTGTGTTCGTCAAACTTTCTATTCTCTTACAAAATATTTGCGTTCTCTTGCAAAACTATTTCCCTTGAGAAATGTTGTGTTTGCTCACAAAAGCAATGAAATACAGTTTTCCAATACTTTTACAAATATGTTGTGAGTGAACGCAAAGTTTCTCAGCTGAACACAAACATTTTGCGAGAGAATGCAAAAGCATTGAAATATAAATATATATTAAAATACTGTTCATCAAAACGATGGACACTATTTTGAATGATCTAGTTTAGGTGCTTACTTTGAATTATCAGTCTAGGTGCTAACAGATCAAATGAATATTTTCAAAAAACAATTCAAACAAGAATAGTGCAGAACCAGTGTGATTCTCAACACATCAACACAGATCCTCAACATGAAACAAACCTCAGCGATCAATTTCAATAGAACATGAAGTCTTTCAGCTCTCCATGACATCTCTTAAAATTCCCTTATGTGAAGCTATTTATCATATAAAACAATTATTTTGCAGACATGATGCGAGTTACATTCGTTTGTGCCATGGAAGAGAATGAAAAGACTCGTCTTACTTGTTGCATGCAATTAAAGTCCAACAAAAAGACACAGGAAACAGTTTAATATCTCATAGAGACTGTAATTACCCGGTGAGAGTCCCATGGGACCTCATTACTGAAACACTCTCATCACACAAATCGCTTATAAAAACACTCTCCTCCAGCAGTAAAGCACACACACACTCGAGCCATTCAATAAAAGAGACACATCAATCAGTCCAGTGCAGTCCACTCTTGAGAAACAGCACTGCTGCATCTTTACATAATTATGACACCAATTTACACTATAAAATGGCCTAACCCTCTTACTGACAGCAATCAGAATAAAGTTGATTGATAATCACAAATAAAGTAACGATGAGAGGACTCAAAAATAGACATCTACATTTTGTCCCCCCCCCCCAAAAAAAAAAAAAACACCAAGAAGCAATCTTTTTTCATGTTGAGTATTCAATATGAAATATTTTTGTGAAATTATTTTTATGACAATTAAAAATATTTGCCTGCCAAATTGTTAGTACCATATTGTACAGTCAGGACAGGTCTGGGGGGGGGGGGGGGG